GTAAGCAGTCTGTTCTACTCCTGTAATAGATGACTGTGTCTGAAAAATGTTTAGGTCTGGATTTTTATTTATGCACTTTTAAGTTGGACCATTTCTCAATTTATGTGTCTTTTTTTTTTTTTTTTTTTTTTGAAACATCAGCTGGAGGAGCTCCTACTGCCTGCCGGGATAAGACCCCAGGGCCCGCAGTAGGGCTCGCTGTGCTCCGGGCCCAGCTTCCCTCATACAGTGACTCCGAGACATACAGTGATGAACAACAAATGCTTGGCGCAAGACCCAGCCTCCCATCGAAGCCATACAACACTGTGACCCTCCAAAGTCCACCCCGGTACTGCCTGGCATGTGTGTCATCCGTGCGCAAGGCCCATGCTAATCTTCTCCGTATCGTTCCAGTTTTAACGCATCTCCCAAATGACGGTCTGGAAATCTTTTACTCGCGTCACCAGAATCTCTTTTCCCCCCTCGACTGTGTGTCATCTAACAACCAAGGGGGGGAAGACACCTGACCTTTCAGTGGACGGTTACCTGTATGGATACCATGTATACGTCCAAATACATTCCAACTCATGTAGGTTATCATTATACAACCAGCCATCATAGTCTGAGTTGTCAAACCACCAGCACTTGGCCCCGCTGTCCGATTTTGGTCCAGGGCATTAAACCACCAGTACTTGGCCCAGCTATCAGCCGCCGAAAAAAAAAAAGAGTAGAAACTTTTCTAGTCAGATGAATTTGGGCGCTCCTGTGGTAGCCCGTACATTTCCTAAAATCGAGGCGCGTTAACGGGCACGACTCTAGGAAGTACTGGTGGTTTAACAAACCGCATCTTAACCCCTGCTTCTCCATCTACGGGGGCACTTGTTGGCCCTACCTCGGATATACCGGACAGCAGTTGCAGGCACCAGCGCTAGGCCAGGACACCCCTCCCAGCCCCGGTTGAAGCACTATCGAACGAGCCTTGTTGTATGGGCACTTAGGGACCGCATCTTTTGGGGCTCGGTCTCCGGAGCAAAATTTCCGGCAGCGCCAGCCAAAGGAGGCCTGCGGCGATCCTTTTTTTTTTTGGGGGGGGGGCACGTTTCCAGCCGTGGAGAGAAGTGTCTCGAACCAGACTCCTTCGGCTTCCTCATCTTCCACAAGCATCCTTTTTTTTTTTTTTGGAAACATCATCTGCTCCCCACTCCCAGGAGGTGATACGAGCAGCCTTCGGGGGGTGGTGTCCCCACTGTTTGATGCTCCATTCTAGTAGTCGGCGAGCGTCACTTGCTGGCTGGAAACCGGGTCCAGCGTCCCTCTTTATTGGCATAAACAGAGCTTGAGGATTGCGCAAACGTGAGCGGAATCCACCCCCTGCAGAGTATCCCCCCCTTGGTCAATCAATGTGCTATCCTCTTTTTCCCTCTTTTTTTTTAATCCTTGTTTGCATTGGAAATGCAAACTGGTGGCAACTGCTGCAAATGGACTCGTTAATGGGGGGCTCGTGGCCTGACTTGTTCCATCTGTGGGCCCTCTCGTGGACCGACTCTGGGGCAGGCTCGCTTCGGGACTTTCTCTGAATGTGTACTAACTGGCATCTGAGCCAGAGTTACTCCCCACCCAAGTCCTAGACCCATTCTTTTCCACAAGCATCTATAGCTTCAGTTGCCTACCGTCTTCACCCGAATAGAACGGCCGGTCATTATAGCTGTATTTGGCACAAGTTTCAGTCCAGATGCAGCGATAATGACCGGCCATTCGGTAGTTGGACACTTGGGATAATTTCCTAGGTGCCACCTCTCTCTGCACCTGAAACACATAAGGGTTTTCTTGGTGGAAATGACTACTACTGTGGACTTTTTCCCATTCTCAGGGAAGACTGAGGGTTTTGTCAGCTTTCACATCCAGTATTGCCCTCATTGGATCACAATGTGTGGTCAGGGAAGATCGTACTCTCTCTCTCTCTCTCTCTCTCTCTCTCTCTCTCTCTCTCTCTCTCTCTCTCTCTCTCTCTCTCTCTCTCAGCACGTGTCTGTGTCCTTGTTTTTTTGTTTTTGTTTTTTTTTCTAAAACACCACCTCATGGTTACTGATAGGAGTGATGATAAGAGCATACACTCCTACCAGCACCACTAGGGGCTCCAATCTATTGGTGGGGAGCTGCACCTGCTGGAAAACGGGTCCAGCGTCCCTTGACATATAATGATGAGCAATAGAAACCGATGATGCTGGGAAACGGGCCCAGCGTCCCTTGTACCTCTTCACCCTCATCTGAGTGGCGCCAGATTTCCCAACTTAGACCTGGTACTGATTTGGATAAGTGATCCTGATAAAAGTGATGACTCGAGTGGGAGCTGAGATAGCCAGCTACTGTTTTGACATATCCTTCAGCAGAAGAACTTAGTAAACATCCCTTTCCAAGACGCCAGATATCACTGTTGTGACTAGAAATGTTAACCCCTATAAACCATACCAAGAACTTGGAACAAGAGCAGATGCAGGGGGGGGGAAGGGATCAGGGAAGTCTGATAAGGGGCGCATAGGTACTGAAGCCTCAATGGTGGTCCAATCATCAAAAACCAATTTAGAGTCCCTTTTGAGCCCAGCATCGCTCCATTCCAAAAAACTCTCCCTATTCTCCTTCCCTGGTTTCCGCCCAGCCTCTTGTCTGTGTACTTGTTAATTTGCAAGATCAACTGCTATTGTGTTCGTGTGCTGTACCATTGTAATATTCTCGTTATGTTTGTCATCACTCGTTCTTCTCGAGTTGTCTCAAATTTGAGTTTTGCTTCATGAAATGAAATGAACAGGAACATAGCATGGCGGAAATATAATCTTGGCACTTCATTCTTCAATTAGAAAAGATGAGACAAAAGAAAATACAATTGAGATCAAAGCCTGAGCGACGACAAACATAAAGAGAATATCACAATGGTACAGTACAAGAGGTCCCACTGGTGCCCCCCAGTGGCTCCTCCCGGAATCCTGTACCAGTCAAAGGGCCGAAGAAGGACACCTGCTGCATTTTTCCTCTGCGTATTGTCAAGAAAGGGACGGGGGCTATTTCGGGGAGGGAGAGCCAGTACGTAGCAGCAGGAATCTGGCGCCGAAATCAGGGTGAAGAGGTCCCCCCCCCTGCTCAGTCAATCCCCTGGTGGCCAGGGCAATCAAAGCTGGCAGGATCCTCGTACTTTCTTTCTGATGTATTCCAAATGTATCATACTCATAATAGGACGCTGGACCCGCTTTCCAGCAGGTGATGCTCCCCACCAATAGATGGAGCCTTTCCCCAGGTGCTACCGGTGTCCGCTCTTATCAGCATCCCTAGCACTGGAGGGATTTGTTTGTTTAAAAAAAAAAAAGAACACAATAGCAGTTGATCTTGCAAATTAACCAAGTACACAGGCAGATGCTGTGTGTGTGTGTGTGTGTGTGTGTGTGTGTGTGTG